TCCAACTCCCCGCAGGCAGCTCCATCTGGATGTCTTGCAGATACTACAAATATTAATTTAAAAGTTTCTATAAATAGATGAATTAAATGGAATCTCTGAGCTTTGAGTAACATGTGTGCTGATAAAATTATGTGTCTGCCGTGAAATGTAGGTCCTCTTAAATCATGACCAACCACCACAGATTATGGATTTACAAACTAACCCTTTATAAATCCTCTACACTTGTCAGTGGAAACGAAGAAAAATACTCTTTTTGTAAAGTTATGTGTTTGCTTGAAAGGCAGAGTGCCAGAGAGAGAGATCTATCATCCACTGATTCACTCCCCAAATGGCCACACAGCTGAGGCTGGGCTAGGCTGAAGCCAGGAGCCAGGATCTCCATCTGGGTCTCGCAAGCTCCTAGGCCAAGTTTCTAAGCCATCTTCTGCTGGGATCTGGATCAGAAGCAGAGCAGCCAGCTGGAATGGGCACTCATGGGAGGCTAGCATTGCAGGTGATGGCTTAACCCCTGAGCCACAATGCTGGCCCCAAGAACAGCATGCTAACTCTAAAACTTTTTACCCTTGTTTTCAAGTTAATAAGAGCCATGACTGTGGATGAGACTGCATGGCCTTTTAACTTTGAATTCTGTCTCTTCTGATTCTAGTCAGGTATATTCTAAAACATTCTGGTTTTGTTCGGTTGAACCTAATCCTAAGAGTTGGATAAAATATATCACACTCTTGAAGTTTACCTCTGAATGTTATGGCAAAAGAAATCACTCAGAGGTGGGTTGGGGGTGGTATGTGGGGAGTTCCAGCTGCTTCACTTCCTGTTAGCCCCTGCTAATGCACCTGGGAAAGCAGCAAAGGATGCCCCAAGTGCTTGTGTCCCTACCACCCATGAAGGAGACCTTGACGGAGTTCCAAGCTCCTGATATCAGCCTGGCCCAACCCTTTGGCCATTTCAGAAGTGAATGGAAGACATCTCTCTCTCTCCCTCTCTCTGTCTTTTAAATAAATAATAAAGAAAGTAAATCTTAGAAAAAAAATTAAGAACAAAACACTCAGGTTCATATCTCTTCAATCTTCCCACTAGTGTTGTATTAGCATTTTCTCTATACTGGGATGGAGAAAAAATGCTGAACTATAAACAATCACTAAAATTTAGCAATAAAAATTGCTAACATATAAATAAGGAAGCTTTGTCCTATTCCCTTTTAAGCCCAAGAGAAATTTTGAAGCTGGATTTGATTTATTTGGAATTCAAGTGTTTATAGTATATTCCTTCATCCTCAGCCCCATATAACGGGGAAAAAATTGGTATTGTATATGCAAAAAACCTTCACAGAATCTGTTAGACGAGTTGCTAGGTTATGAATAGTAACAGTGAGGCAATATCTGTAGCTGTTACTGCTGAGGTGGAAAAAGTGTATGGAGGAGCAAATAAGCAGCTGAAGTCTGCACTGTGACTCTCTTCAAACAGCCTAAGTGTGTGGAGAGGAGCAGCTGACAGGCTGTCTACACAGCCACTAATGCAGGAGGCACAGAGAAAATGCTCTACACACGCACTCTTCCAGCAAGACTGGAACTTAGGGAACTCATTTGGATGGGAAAAGAAATCCAGTGGGTACCCTTTAGTGTCTTAGCTTAAGTGAACATGAGACTGGATGTTTTTGCTCCACCTGAGAAGGAAGAGAGAATTGATTGCTCAGGGGAGATTGGTAAAACAGTTTAAGATCCTTGAGAGCAGAGATTATATCCTGTTTGTAAGCTCCCGGCTCAGACACTGTTGTAGCGAGTGGCCACAAGAACAGCTGAATGGCTTTCCACAACATCCTCATAAATTCTGTCACAGGGCATTTGTTGGCATCCACATTGTAGGGGGCAGGCACCGTGTCTCACTTGGTTAATTCTCTGCCTGCGGGCACTGGCATCCCATATGGGTGCCGGGTTCTAGTCCCAGTTGCTCCTCTTCCAGTCCAGCTCTCTGCTGTGGCCGGGGAGGGCAGTGGAGGATGGCCCAAGTGCTTGGGCACCTGCACCCGCGTGGGAGACCAGGAGGAAGCACCTGGCTCCTGGCTTTGGATCAGCGCAGCGCCGGCCGTGGTGGCCATTAGGGGGGTGAACCAACGGAAGGAAGACCTTTCTCTCTGTCTCTCTCACTGTCTATGACTCTACCTGTTAAAAAAAAAAAATTATCCATTAAAAAAAACCCACATTCTGGTCCCCAGCTTTTGGGGTCTCCCAACACACCCTTCTCACCTGAGGCTGCTCAGAGCTCCCCAAGCTTGCTGCACACTTCCTGTGTTCCTGATTTTGCTGCTCCTGTCTCCTCCACTAGATGTGCCCTTCTCTCTCTCTCCAAGGCTCCTCATCAAATGTGGCTCACGCCTGGAGAGCAGCTCATTGCTCCCCAGAGCTTTCCCTGGTCCCCTGCCAGGTTGGTCCTCCTTTGTGCAGCCCTGCTGGTGCTCACCCCCAAATCTGCTCTGTCCTCGCCCACGGACCTGAGCAGGGTGTTCTTCCTCCTGCTCTCCGCACTGGTGGGAAGGGTTCCAATCTGCAGAGGCAGTGGAGTCACCTCTACTAAATACCTCTATGACTTCGGAGAAGTTACGGAACTTTCTGAACCTCAGTGTAGAATTTTTTTAAAAGTGTCTCACAGAATTAATAAAGAATTAAATAAGATAATATTTGGGATTTTAAAATTTCTTATTTTTAAAAGTTTTGAAAGGCAGAGTGACAGAGAGAAAGAGGGAGAGAGGGATCTTCCATTGACTGGTTTACTCCTCAAATGCCTACAACTGCTGGGCTGGGCTAGGCCAAAACCAGGAGCCTAGATTTCCATCCCAGTCCCCCCACGTGGGTGACAGGGCCCTAAGTAATTGAGCCATCGCCTATTGCCTCCTAGGATGTGCATTAACAGGAATCTGGAATCATAAGAGGAGCTGGAACTGAAACCCTGGAACTCTGACATGAGACACAGATGACACAAGCAGCGCCTTAACCCCCGGCACCACAATGCCTGCCCCTTTATTTGAGAATGTTTTTGTAAAGTCATCAGTAATTTATAAGTGGCAATTGATGAGTGATTACTGCCTATGAAGGCAGGCAGACAGGCATGTCTTACACGCACACACATACCCATCCCCTGTCCTCCCCCCACCTCCCCCATCCCCAGTAAATGTTTTGAGACAGTGAGTCAGTTGATCTTTGTATTCTGCACTTGTCCATATCACAGACTTACAAAGAATGGATTTTCAGGAATTCTGATGAATTGAAACAAAGTATGGAACTGGTAGAGAGCAGAAGCATGATGCCTACAAACTCAACATTCAAGGACTCAGGCTACACTGGAAAGGCAGCTGATCCTGGGTTATGGGTGGTAGGCAGGAGGCTGCTCATGAACCAGAGGAGAACCCTCAACAGTTTTGCCCCGAGGGTTAGAATTCAAGCTTCTATTTGGCTAGTAAGTAGTTAATAACTTCCCCAGTCTGATATTATTTGCGTATTACCAAATTCTGCCCTGCCCACTCATTCCAAACACCCACAGATTTGTGTATCTGTGTCTATGCCTACGCATTCCTATGATCTTTGAAAAACCACTGCAGCATGCCTGTGTTATATTGGTTGCAGCACAATTTTACGTAACTCTGGACACAAAGAAATCTAAAATGAAAACACAGAATAGAAGCAGCAACCATTCAGCAAGGTTATTTATAATCCTGAGGTTTGCTAGTTTATTGTCTTCACTGAAAGGTCACGCTTTATCTTGTATATGTGCAAAGGCTAATAGCCTTTCCAAAGAGAATGGAATAACATTTTGAGATCTGTCTTCTGAGCAAAGGTGTAATGCAATTTCAAGATGGAACATAATTACCACTGAACAGAGAGCAGTCTTAGGAACCTTCTTATGTAAATGATCTTATTCCAGACAAGGGAATGTAGGACAAGGAATGAAGTAAAGAGATACACTCCAGATTCAACCAAGGAAGATGTCTCTTTCCCTTTGAGGATTCTGCATTTCTATCTCAGGAAAAAAGGAAAAGGGTTTGTGGCAAATCTCATTGGCTGTTGTCTAATAGTCATTCTCTCCTCTGTCTCTTGATTTTTGAATGGGAATAGCCATGTGTCCAGCTCCTGGGGAGGAGCCATGATTGTCTAAACTAGACATGGCAATCCCAGAATAATTTCTTTCTGAGCTTCTCTGCTCTGGCCAGAGAGGTGTAAGCAAAAGTCTGTGAAGTTCTTGTGAGAATGGTTTCACTCCATAAATATAAAAGACAAAGCAAGAGCTTAGGCTATAGAGTAAAGGGAGTGGATACTGGGTTACAAGTGGGTGGTGGGGCAGGGGCTGTTTATGAATTAGAGGAGCTCTGGGTGAGCTCTTGATGCTGTGGGAGCCGTCTTACATCTAAGAAGGAGAGACCAGGAACTGGCATCAGGGCTCAGTGACCCAAGCTGCTACCTGCAATATTGGCAACCCATATTGGAGCACCGGTTTGAGCCCTGGCTGTTGTGCTTCCAATCCAGCTCCCTGCTAGTGTGAGTGGGAAAGCAGTAGAAAACGGCCCACATGTTTGGGCCCCTGCCACCCACCACCTGCATGGGAGACCTGGGTGAAGTTCCTATCTCCTGGTTTCTTCCTCCATCACTCTGCCTTTCAAATAAATGAATCTTAAAAAACAACAACTACAAAAAAGGAGAGGCTAAGAACATCAGAGAGATGATAGCTTGGTCCCCTCATCGTGGAGCCTCAACAACCTGGAGACCTAACAGTTTCATAGTTGCTCCCCACCCAGCCCTTGCTTTGATGGTGCTTTCCTCTCTGTCAGCGAGTCAAGTACCCTGCTCCAAGTCTTTCCAGTTAACACTGAGGTTTGACAGGAGGAGGCTGCCTTTCAAACAACTAAAGTCAGGACAACGTATATCTGGTAGTTCATCTCAGATGTTTTCTCAGGACATCTCCTCCTGAGGGCGGATTGCTCATAAAACCAAGGTCATAAACAAGACTTCTGTCTTTTCCAGCCTCCACAGGGAAGTCACCAGCCATCCAAGTCTTCATCTACACAGTTGGCCATTTACTGAAGGACTTGCACATCCCAGGCACCATGAGAGACACCAGCTAGAGTACCTGCTCACCCTGGAGACAGATGTGAAACAAATATTCCAGTAGAAAACAATGAGATTTGGACCAGGGTGCCTTGAGAGCAGGTAACTGGGAGACTGGAGTCAGAGATAGTGGCAGTGGTCAAGGAATGCATCTCCAGGGGATGAACATGTCAACTGAGTCACCATCTATTCTGGTCAAGTTCAGGATTATTCAGTTGAGAAATGAGAGCAGTAGAGATGGACAGGAGGAGACACCACGGAATGTAGGCAGTAGAAAGGATGGAACTTGGTGATTAATCAATGAAGTCAGAGGTGGCTGGAGTCAGGGATGACTCATAGATCACCGGTGTGGGTTGACAGATGGAGGCATAATCATTCATGTGGCCAATTGCAAAACGGACCCCTTGCCTCTCCCACCCTTTCAAATAATGGCTGTGCTGCTCCTCCCATGAAAGGGTAGAGTATATTTCCCCACCCCTTGCACCTGGAGCTGGCTTCATGGCTTGCTGTAGTCAACATAATGCAGCACAAGTGAGATGCTACGCCCTGGAGCCCAGGTCTCTGGTGAACTCAGCCATCTCCACTCACTCGCTTAGAAATCTGCTCAGCTGGCAGGAGAACAAACCAGGCCAACGCTTGGGATGAAGAGAGATGGGTGACTCCCTGGCTGCCCGGTGACATGGTGATAGCCTACAGCTCCACCAGGGGCCATACCCAGGTAAGGCCATTCTGGAGCAGCACCCCTCTAACTCCACCCCCTTACCTTCTTCTCACTCCCTCCTGAGCCTGGAAACTCAGTCAAGACCAGCAGAGCCTGGCCTAGCATAGCTTAAGCACACTCACTGACCCACAGTCTTGTGAATGAACATCAGAGATGTTCAGGGGTGGATATGCATGGGCTGGGAGCCTGGCATGCAGGACGCCAGGAGCATGAAGTTCTTCCACCTGTCCAAGGATGAGGTCCCGAGCCATCTGCCTTGCCATGGAAGTGCAACTGTGCCACATTTCTCGTTGGTGCTGTCTTCCCCCCACCCCCTCCTCCCGGCCTACACTCCACCACGTACCAAGAAGCCCATACTTGAACACTGTAGCAAAAGCAGGCATGACCCAAGAGCGCTGAACGGGGTTAATGATGGAGAAGGAGCCCTGGGCCCTTTCCTGCCCGCCCGAGCTCCCGGCCGCGAATGAGTCAATTCCCGAGCCTGCAGGAAGGGGGCTGCGTGTGCACGCTGAGCTGCACGTAACGACTGCCCCCCAGCGGAATGCACATATCCAGGCAAGGTCACGGTTACTTCGCAGGCACTAAACCAGGGCTCGCATCCCCTCCTTTCGCCCTTATTCCTGTCACCCCCGTAAGCACTTTCTGAAAACAAAAGGGGCGACATTCAGCAGAGATCTAACGCTCTCATGTTGCAGCACCATCCAGCTGATGGCTCCTTCTCTCTTTCTGTCCTCCAGCTCTCGACCACGTTCTCGGGTTCACCCGAGGGGCTGAGTACGCCTGGATGGCGGCCGAGGCTCCGCGGCGCCCCAGGAGAGCGACGGGCGCTGCGCACGCCGCGGAGACCCTCCCCTCGGCGCCCCCAACTCCCGCCCACTCCGTGCTGCTCGCGGAAGGGGCGGGGCTGGAGGCGGCCGCGCACCGCCCCGCGCACTGGCTCCGCGCACTGTCCCGCGCGCCCAGCCCTTTAAAAGCCGCAGGCTTGGACAGCTCCTCCTGCCACTGCCTGGTCCGAGCGTCGGGGATCCCGCGCTCCTTGCCTGGCCGCCGGCTTTGCGCTCCGTTCCTGAGCGCGCTCCATGCGGCCGCCCAACATGTCCGGGCACTTTCTGCTCGCTCCCATTCCTGAGTCCTCCACGGACTGCTTCCTGCCCAAGGACATTAAACTGGCTGTGCTGGGTGCCGGCCGCGTGGGAAAGAGTGGTGAGTGCGGCGGGAAGCGGGCGCTTTGGCTGGGAGCAGGAGCAGCCTGACGGGATGCGCGCCTCAGAGGGTGCCGGCACGGCCCTGGGCCCTTTCCCGCCCGCCGGCTCCCAGAGCATCTCCTCCTGGGCTCTCCCTGGGCTGGCACCTGTTCGGGACCCGGGTTGCCAGAAAGCCCGCGGAGGGCATCCCCCCGCGTCCTGGGCGTTGCAGAGCTGTGGGTGGTAGTGTCTGCACCCAGCGGCCCGGGAGTGCCCGGCTTTGATCCCTTGCCTACCTCCTTCAACTAATTTTTTCGATTTGCTTTCCAGCAATGATCGTGCGCTTCCTGACCAAGAGATTCATTGGCGACTATGAACCGAATACAGGTTAGAATGGTTTCACTCTCCCTGCTTCCCTTTTCTCTTCCGTGGTCGGAGAGTGAGGCTCTTAAAGCAAACTCTTTCGTCTCTCCAGGCAAACTGTATTCACGACTCGTCTATGTGGAGGGGGACCAATTATCCCTGCAGATCCAGGACACTCCTGGGGGCATCCAGGTAAGACCTGTGGGGAGCAAACCGCTGGCCCCAGAACACCGCTGGGGTGGTAGTAGTATGGTGTAGGGTATGGGCGCTGAGCTCGCGGCTCCTGGGTCTGAGCAAGAGGTTGGATTGCTGTCAGTGCAGGCATGAGCTGTTCACAGGTGGGGTTGGTGTGCTAGAAACCCTTTGAGGCCTTGAGTGGTTCCAGGCAGCTTCCTCTTCTCGGCCACCTGCCGTTTGTCTTTGCACACCTGGCGGGCGGGTCTCACCGCTTCTTCCAGTGCTGGACCATGGGGGACTTTCGCCAAAACCAGCCTGATGGGATTTTGGTGGGAGAGAGTCTTCTCGCCTAGCCAGGACTGCGGAAACTCTGCAGTTGCTGGCTGTTCCCCCAAGTCAGACAGTAATTGCAATCAAGTAACTCTTGGCCAGCATCTGGAATGTAACTTCATTAACAAGTTACTAATTGCTACTCCCTGGTAGGGAAGAAAGTCTAGTGGGAGAGCCCACGGAAAGGAATGTGTTTCTGTAACATTCTGGAGAAGTTGCCTGCTAAAAATATTTTTATGGGTTTGGGAATAGATATTTATCTTGGCTTCTTTTCAAAGTTTTGTTTATTAGGAGTTGGTTTTCTAAAAATTGAGCCCTACTGGTTCAAAGTCATTCTTCAGCCAGTAACAATTCTACAGAAACTGCCTGTCATGCAAGGGGCTTAAAAATAAAGCATTGATAACAGCCAGGCAGGGAGTTGGCCCGCAAGCTCACACTTTTCTCTGTCAAAAGCCTCCTATAGATGCTGGGTGCAACCTGAAATTCAGTGGCTTTTTTTGCAAGCCCTTCTTCTAGGGCAGCTTTGATGTGGAATTTGAGCTCAGGGCCCCCCCACTGAGGGCTTCCCTGACTGCCTCTCCTTTTGATGTTTCTCAGGCGCAGGATGGCCTTGGCCAGGCGGTGGATTCCCTGTCCAAATGTGTGCAGTGGGCCGAGGGCTTTCTTCTGGTCTATTCCATCACAGACTACGACAGCTACCAGGCCATTCGGCCCCTGTACCAGCACATCCGGAAGGTCCATCCTGACTCCAAAGCTCCCGTCATCATCGTGGGCAACAAGGGCGACCTCCAGCATGCTCGGCAAGTGCAAACGCAGGATGGCATTCAGCTCGCCAGCGAGCTGGGCAGTCTGTTCCTTGAAATCTCCACCAGCGAGAACTACGAAGACGTCTGTGAAGTGTTTCAGCACCTCTGCAAGGAAGTAAGCAAAGCGCACAGCCTGGCCGGGGAGCGGCGGAGGGCCTCCGTCATCCCCCGGCCCCGCTCGCCCAACATGCAGGACCTGAAACGGCGCTTCAAGCAGGCTCTATCTTCCAAAGTCAAAGCTGCCTCTGCGCTGGGGTGAACCGGCTCGGACAGACCCGGCTCCTTTTTCTTATGCATTTGTGCAGCTAACAAGACTGGGCTTTCCCCCTTTTAATCACGTGTTCAGAGTTTATTTTTCTAAAGACTTTATTAGTTTTCAAGTGGCTGCGTATTTCCGCAAACTCAAGAGATTGCCTAGAAGCTGGATAGATATGTTTTTTCTAAATAAAAGAACTTTTTAAAAAACTCCTAACTGCTAAGCACTTTTCCATTAAAGGCAACATGGCAACATTGCTCCTTGTTTCCTAAGTGTCTTTTTATGGAAATCATCTTTGCAGCAAAGCCCAGAATTGCTCAGTGCTTGGCCCCAGTCTGAACCCTGATTGGTGTCTTGTGGTGGGAAGGGGTTCATGCAGAGGGAATCACTGTGGGAGCAGGAGAAGTGTGTGCCAGAGGGGAGGGATCTGAGTTGCACGATCTCTCTGATCAGGGCACTTCACCGTAGTCCTGACATTGACATTGAGAATTTCTTTTCTTTCCTTAAAGATTTATTTATTGAGTTTCTCTATCTATATATCTATATCTAGAGAGAGACCAGCCTTCTACCTGCTGCATCACTCCCCAAATGGCCACAATAGCCAGGGCTGGGCCGGGCTGAAGCCAAGAGCTATAAGCATCTGAGTCTCCCATGCAGGTGCAGGGCCCAAGCACTTGGGCCATCTTCTGCTGTTTGCCCAGGTCATTACCAGGGAGCTGGTTTGTGGAGCGGCCAGCACTCAAACCAGCGCTGATATTGGATGCTGGGGGTGCAACTGGCAGTTTAACCCACTATGCCACGAGGCCAGCCCCACACTGGGCGTTTTAGGGAATGGGTACATTGTAATAAGATGATGAAAAATTACAAATTCTAAATGACAGTTCCATTTATTAATGCAAATATAAATACATCCTCTACTTGAATTAAGATAAGCCCTTTCCTAGTATTATGTAAGTGGGCCCTCCCATCCATGAATGGCCTCAAAATCTCCCTCTGTGTTTCTCTGACCCTCTTGCATATGGATAAGGGAACAATCAAAGTATGAGTCACTGAGCAACATGGTTTATTGCAATATAGACAGAATTTTAGGTTCACAAGGCTTAAGAGAGTGCAAGAATAATGTAAACAAACATCACAGGGGTTATACTGCATAGATGAGATGTGTTAGCCACACAGTGAGTTCCAGAATCATTGAAGGCCAGTTGTTCAATCAGGATGGAATCAGGCCTCCATGAAAAGTGAAGTCTAATACATTTTAGGTATACCTTAAAAAAATTTCCTTTTTAATTTTTTTGAGCAACAGAAGAGAGCTGCCATGCCCTGGTTCACTCTTCAACTGCCTGCAGCAACTACGGCAGGGCAGAGGGCAAAATCTGGAGCCAGGACCTCAAGCCAGGTCTCCCCCTGGGACCCAATTTATTGAGCCATCACCACTGTGGGGAGCAACTCGGACTAGACTAAGTTACTGGAATTAAGACTTATTCTATGCATCTGCTCTCCCACAATATGGCGCTGGGAGAGGAGGCAACAGCTGCTACCCAGCTGCCTCTCACCAACTTGACAAGCTGCAGGACCTGCTCCTGATTGGAGGAGAGCAGCGTACTCGGCGTGTGGGTAGCAGAGTTGGGATTGGTGGAAGAGGACTATAAAGGAAGAGAGAGACAACATGCACGAGGAACATCTAAGGGGAACATCTATCTGAAGGAACACCTGTGCAGCCCCCGAGAGAGCCGGCCGGCGGTGTGCTGCTCCCCCGCGGAAGTGGGGAAAGTGGCCAGGGGGAACCTCCCTTCCACGGAGGTGGAAGGGACAGTAGCCAACCCGGGAAGAACCAGCAGCAAACCCGGGGAGGGCCGAGCAGACGAAAGAACAGCGCAGGGTCCTGTGTCGTTCCTCCACGAAGAGGGGGAGCGACAACCACTACCTCCCAGGATCCCCATAAGCTGGAGTCAAGAGCCAGCAATCCAACCCAGGAGCACAGAAGTGGGATTCAGGCATCTTTTTTTAATTTAATTTTTTAAAGATTTATTTATTTATTTGAAAGAGTTACGCAGAGAGAGGAGAGAGAGGTCTTCCATCTGATGGTTCACTCCCCAATTGGCCGCAACGGCCAGAGCTGCGCCAATGCAAAGCCAGGAGTCAGGAGCTTCTTCCAGGTCTCCCACATGGATGCAGGGGCCCAAGGACTTGGGCCGTCTTCTATTGCTTTCCCAGGCCATAGCAGAGAGCTGGATCAGAAGAGGAGCAGCCGGGACTAGACCGGTGTCCATATGGGATGCTGGCGCTTCAGGCCAGGGCATTAACCCACTGCATCACAGCAGGAATTCAGGCATCTTAACCACTGTCTTAACTGTTAGGCTAAATGCCCACTGCAAGGTGCACCTTCATGTGAGTGGTTTTCAGGAGAAGCTGGCTTGACTTGCACAGTGGAGATCTGGGGTCCCTTGCTGCTGGAGGCTGGTGCTGTGATGGGCAAGTCTTTGGAGATTGATGTGTTGTCCTGTTGAAGCTCAAGCACCAGGCCTTTGAAGAATCATTTGGCAGTGAGGCCTGCTGTGGTCGGGGCCCTCAGTGTGTTGGTCTTCAGACTAACATGTGCTGTTAGTCCCAGGAGTTGAGTCAGTAACTAAATCAGCAGCTCACATGTGGGCTAGGATAAGGCTCCATGCAATGTTCCCACAGTGGGAAGTAGTTCACCCCAGGTTCTCACACAGGAGGTCCCGTAAGATGTTGCATCCTGCGGCGGACATTTGGCCCAGGGGTTAAGCCACTGGTTAAGACACCCACAGCCCATATCAGTGTGCTTGGGTTCGATTCCTGGCTTTAGCTCCCTGACTCCAGCCTCCTGCTAGTGTGTGGCCCGGGAGGCAGCAGGCAATGGCTCAAATAGTGGAGTGCCTGGTACCCACAAGGAAGACCTGGCTCCTGCTTGGCCCATCCCTGGCCATTATAGGCATTTACAGAGTGAACCAATGGGAGTTCTGTCTGTCTGTCTCTCTCTCTCTGTGCTTCTCAATTAAATAATAAGAATAAAAGGATGCATTTATTTTGGTGCAAAGCAATTTTGAAATCCTTGCATACCAAAGGTCTTCAAACAATTCACAAAAATGCATATTACAACAAAATTATGCACGGATTTCACAAATCTTCTTCAACAACATATCTTTCTTTTCTTCTTTTTTTTTTTTTTTTTTTTGACAGGCAAAGTTAGTGTGTGTGTGTGTGTGTGAGAGAGAGAGAGAGAGAGAGAGAGAGAGAGAGAGAAAAGGTCTTCCTTCTGTTGGTTCACTCCCCAAATGGCCGCTACGGCCGGCGCACTGTGGCTGGTGCGCTATGCTGATCTGAAGCCAGGAGCCAGGTGCTTCCTTCTGGTCTCCCATGCGGGTGCAGGGCCCAAGCACTTGGGTCATTCCTCCACTGCCTCGCACTTGGGTCATCCCTCCACTGCCTCCCCGGGCCACAGCAGAGAGCTGGCTGGACTGGAAGAGGAGCAACCAGGACAGAATCCAGTGCCCCAACCAGGACTAGAACCTGGGGTGCCAGCGCTGCAGGCGGAGGATTAGCCAAGTGAGCCATGGCGCTGGCCAGTTATCTTCCAATTCCACTTTTTCAGTCATTCTGTTTAGAGACTTTGTATTCCAAGTCTCTCATTGAGTGCTTGCCCGTGGAGTGGGAGTGCTATGGGTTAGGCAGGGCTAAATCCTCCACACTGTGTGGCACCACAAATGACAGATTTCTAGGGCATCATAGCTTCCTTTGTTCCCAGGGCTTCAGCACCGGCCCAGCACAGAAGCTGCCTCTCTGCTCTTGGAGAGAGGTCCTTGCTTGTTATCTCTCTTTCCTGGCCTCCTGCTGGCTGGCAGTAGTCTCTTGGGGGCTCATAGTGGTTAGGGACCATCTGGAAGACTCGGCATGGTTGTTGTGGAGTTTGAAGAGATCTGCATGGAGTTGCCAGCAGGTGGTTTGGGCTGGAAGTTGTTGGATTTATGTGTAGGGAATGGGATCTGAGGATTTGGCCTTGGCTGGGTGTTGAAGAAAATTTCTAGGGGAAGCTGAGTTCTAAGCCAACCTCCCTTTCATTCAAAAATGAGGAGGACAGAACCCCCAGAGCCTCAGGTGTCATTTTTCTGCCAGGGCCGGGACTCCAGAAACACCGGGAAGAACACCAGCAACTTGGATTGAAAGGACGGAGTCTGCACATTTTTACCCAAGTTTTGCTTTACCTCTGCAATGTCTTCACTGATATGAGACCTGACATCCATCGTCAAGAGGGAGGTGGGAACACAGCTCTCTCATCCCTGCCTCTGTTGTAGGATCTGTCCCTGAAATCCCCAAGCCTCCATCGCCACTGCTCAGTGCCCGGTGGCCGTGGTTCAGTTGCTAATTCCACTCGCAAATGCCGCAGAATGATTTCATTAATTTCACAGTCAGTGTAGTCCTAGAGAAATGGATGAGATCCAAGTGGCTAAATTGAACATCTGCAAGCATTCTGCACTTCACATGCAACCCATGAAAGCCGAACTGGGATAATAGAAAAACAAATCAATTAGACTAGAAGAAAATAAGCTTGTTTTGCTTCTGTTGAAGTGAAGGACACAATGGAAATTCTAAAGTTTATTAATATCTATTTGGAGAAATGGATTAAAATAACTATCCATAGAAGGTGGTGGCAAACAATAGAGCCAATAGGAAAGACAAGATGATGATGCAGTTGTTAATTTAGGGCCAGAAGAGGTGTTTTGCTCCTTGTGCCTTTGCAATTTCAACTCTACATTATACAAAACTACCAAGTCAACTGTACAATGCAAGATATTTTGTGTGATCAACCAGCTATGCTTAATGTTTGATCTCGCCCCCCAAAGTGGGATATTTTGTTGTTGTTGTAAAGATTTTTCTTTCTGTTTTTAAAAAAGATTTATTTATTTATTTGAAAGTTGGAGTTACACAAAGAGAGAAGGAAAGGCAGAGAGAGGTCTTTTATTTTTTTTTAAGGATTATTTTTATTTATTTGAAAGACAGAGTTACAGAGAGAAGTAGAGCCAGAGAGAGAGGTCTTCCATTTTGCTGGTACATTCCTCAAATGACTGCAATGGCCAGAGCTGAGCTGATCTGAAGCCAGGAGCCAGGAGCTTCTTCCAGGTCTCCCATGTGGGTGCAGGGGCCCAAGGACTTGGGCCATCTTCTGCTGCTTTCCCAGGCCATAGCAGAGAGCTGGATCAGAAGAGGAGCAGCTGGGACTAGAACCGGTGCCCATACA